TCATAGTTAAATGTATTGTGGGCTACAAATTTTTCCTAGTCTTTATCAAATTAAGGACATTTCTATTCCTAGTTTGCTAAGAGTTTTTGTCACAAATGAATTTGGGGTTTTTCAAATGCTTTACTATGTCCATTAGGATGATCATATAGGTTTCCTTTTTATTGTATTAATACCAAGTATGTTGGTTGATTTTTTAATGTTATAACAACCCTGCATTCATAGGACAAGCTACATATACTCATGATATTTTATTGTATTTCACATATTGTTGGGCTTAATTTTCTAAAATTTTGTAGAATTTATACATCTATTATCATCAGCAATGTGAGTTTGTAGTTTCTTTCTCTTATGTTTCTTGCACCTTGATAGCAGGATAATGCAGGTGTCTAAATAGTCTTAGTGGGGCCTCCCCAGTGGCACAGCAGGTTGAGCGCAGTGCTGTAAAGCTGTCCACAGCCTCTGCAGTGCGGGTTCAATTCCCAGCCAGCCAGGGAGATTCCCACATGGTGCAGCAGACCTCTCCTGTTTTGCCAGCTGCTCCCCTCAGCAGTGCTTTTGGTCCATCTGCCTGTTCTGCTCCCAGCTCTGTCTCTGGCGAATCCTCTCACCCTCCCACACCTCTGACTTATACCCCAGCTCTTGTATAAATAAATAAATCTTTTTAAAACATTAAAAATTAAAAAATAAAATAAAATAAAATAGTCTGAGTGGCATTCATTCTTGTTTAATTGCTTTGGCATAAGGTAGCCCAAGTCAGTTTCCAGTGGTGCCTCAGCTGGTATTCTGGCATACTAGATGGTTAGGTGGCTGATATCATCCATTAAGGGTTTTTTAATATTTTTTAAGACTATTTATTTATTTATTTATACAAGAACCAGGGCACAGTCCAGCTGTGCAGGAGGGTGAGAGGATTCACCCAGAGACAGAGCGGGGAACAGAACAGGCAGACTGACTGAAATACACTGCTGAGGGAAGCAGCGGGCACAATAGGAGAGGTCTACCATGCCACGTGGGTATCTCGCTGGCTGGCTGGGCTCAAACCCGCACTGCACAGGCTGTGGACAGCTTCACAGTGCTGTGCTCAACTTCCTGCACCACCAGGGAAGCCCAAACCATTAGGTTTTCAAAGAATCAGTAGTCAGAGAAAACCTAAAAAAAAGAAAGTTATAAAACTAATACATTGTAATGCCTTCTGAATCATAATGCCTTTCTTCAGAGGAAAATAATGCCTACCTGCCTCACTTAATAGAGCTGTTGAGAAGATCACATGTGTATTGCATAGTTGTCCCATTGATATCATAACTATATTCTCTTCCTTCATATAAATTTCTATATCATTTATGGGCATATATTGGCCTAATCACAACTCCCTTTATCTCATCTGCCTCAATTAAATCAATCATCAAGATCTAGTTAATCTATTTCAAATATTGCTCTCAAATCTAGGCTCTTCCTTCCGTCTTTGTTATCAGTGAGTCAGTTCAGTTTATCATCATGTACTATCTCACTTAGATTGTTATAGGTGTGTTATGTGATCATCTTCTCTCTAGCTTGCCACCTGTCCTTCCTTACAAGTCAGATCATGCCACCCTCTTGCTTCAATATTTTTACTGTTGTTGCCTCAAAATTCATGCTGTTAGAAGTCTTAGAAGATGTCAAATTCATAATCAAATGATGTTCCAACAAGCACTTCCACAATGTATCAGTATTAAAACTGGATTGTTTGCTTTGTCAAGTATGTTTTCTTAAACCTCCTATGCATACTACCTCTGTCTACTCCTCATTAGTCATAAATTACACAACTCTTTTCAGTTTTGTTGCCTCATCACTTCTTTTCCGTCAACTTCATCCTGTTCTTTCCCTAGCCACTCTGATTTTGCACAAAAAGCATGATATTCTATGTTTACCTTTATACTGTATCAAATTATACATCCCAGCCACATATTGATGTCATTGAACCCATCTTATAATTTCTTTCTTTGGGAGAAAAGATATCTATATCTATTATCTGTTTGTATTCTCCTTTCCTGGGTTTCATTGCATTTACCTCAAAATAGGCATTTCTCTGACAAGTAGGAAGCTGAACCAACTACCCCTAATTAACTAAACCATGTGATAGTTTTTAAAGTTAATTCTAGGTTGTTAAGTTATTTTTACACTCAGGTAGCTCTTTACATCTAAACAGCTTCTAAATAAAAGAAACACAATATGATAAACAAGTTATTTGGGAACAGAAATTAACGTTCCAGTATTGTACTTCTAATACCTAATTTTCTTTGATAAATACCTTAGTCATAGAAATCATAGAAAAGCAGAAACTGCCTATTATGTTGTGAAGTATGAAAGGTACTTGATCAAGAAGGAAAAATTCCTATTAAGAGATATTTTGGAGAAAGCATATTTAACATTTCCATTCTTTTACTTTGAGATTTTGTATGAATTTATGTGGGTTTGGAAAAAATATCTCCATCAATTGACAATACATTCACCCTCTGGCCATTTCTATTTTCTTTGAAGGCTATTATGTTGAATATCTAGATATAGGTATCAGCACATTCATCTAATAATTTCTCTGTCATCTTTCTCTAGGTTTATCTGATCCGTTCTCATGGCTTTACAACATCAACAATCTGATAATGACTACCTATTTATACCTCCAATCTGGAATTGATTTCTGAGTTCCAATATAAGCTCATAGAAAGCCTCTGAACAAGTCCACTTAGTTGTGCCCAGAACAACTTAAACTCAAGTGTAAGTAAAACCTTAGTTTTCCCTTTCATAATTGCTCCTCCTCATAAAGGCCTAATCTTAGCAAATGACACTGGCTTTTACGTTGAAGCTTCAAACCCAAAAACTTAAGAGACACACTTGGCTTTACCTTTCATCACACTCCACACCAGTCCTTTATCAATCTCTACAAATTAACTCAAATTTGCTGATTGTTATCATTCTCTACTGCCAGCACTGTACATGAGGCCAACACCATCTCTTACATGCACTATCTCCATAGACTCCCACATACTCTTATTGACTCTTTAAATTTCATTCTGAGCAGCATAATAATCTTTGTAGACTATGTTGACTTTCATTATTACTGTGTTCAAAATGTTTTAAATAGGTTGAGAGAGCATATATTCCAAAGACGGCCACAATAACTCCCATCCCACATACTACTGAGTCTGCATGTGATTATGACTCTCCACATAAAAAGGAGGAAAATAATTGCCGTCACCCTTAATTCTATAATGACCTTTTGACCTCCTTCTAATTAATAGAATCAGTCCAAGCAACAATGCATGAATTCTGAGGTTAGGTCAAAAAAGAGAAGGACTGGAGAAAGACAATTGTGAAAAAATTCAACGATTCTTAGACCACCATTCCAGAAAGGTCAGTATTAGACACTCCAGTCAACAGCTTCAGAGTTGAGCTCCCAGCTTCAACTGCTAACCTTAATGAAACATCTTGACTATACAGTCCAGTCAAGACTTCTGCTGCTTTGAAACATCCGACTAAAGGAAGCCAGGAAACATCTGACTATAGTGAAGGGAAAGACCCTGAGTAAGAGCTGCCCCATGGAATCATTTCTGAAGCATTGTTCTACAAAATTTGAGCAAAAATAAAACTGCTTTTATTATACTGTTTTATTGTACTGCTAAATTTGGGGGTAATTTATTATATAGTAATAGTGACTGTATCAGCTTCCCATTGTTCTCAGCAAAAAATTCAAAATCCTTTCTGTAATCTATAGTCTTCTTATACAATCTGGCTCCTGGCTAGTCCTCCAACCTCTTTCTCACCCATGCTGAATCTTCACCCATATCAAATCTCATTTATTCCTCATTAGAAATTTTGTTGAAGCTATTGTTTTCTCTTCCTAAATTCACTCTTCACCTGCTTAATATCAACTCATCCTTAGGGTCTTAAATGTCAGTCATTTCTTCAAGAAAGCTAAAAATATACATGACAAAGAGGAAAGCTTGCTTTGTCTTGTTGCTGTTGTTTTTAAGATGGAGGAAACTTCAGCAAAAATATCCAGTTATGGGAAGGAATTGGTGGAAAGGGAGAGATTGATGATGGGGAGAGATAAGATAATTAACGGAGAATGGTGGGCTCTGGACACAGATTCCTGAATCAGATGTGCATGAGAAAGACAAAAGCTAGCATGCATGTGAACACCTCCTGTATCCCCTGCAAGCTTACTCTACCCGGCAAGTAATGATGACTAGGGACTACAACAGACACATGCCCTCTGAGTCCCTTGGGAGGAGCCCATGGGAATTGTTAGCAGGGGACTGGTGAAAGGGAGGAGACAGATTTAGGAATATTTACTTGCCCCTCTCCTTCCCAGTAAGGGTCGAGTCTAGCTGCTGCTTGCTTTGCTTTGTAATGGCCCTCTTCACACTACCTTCACTGGGATTTCAAGAGTGACTCCTCTCCTTCCCCACTGCAGTCCCCTCTGCAGGGAATTGTGTGTCACTCACTATTCCCTGGAGTTCCCTACACCCCACCAATGCCTTTGTAAACAGTCTGCTTATTAAACTAACTTCCAATTATCCTAATTTAAGTGTGACATCTGTTTCCTGCTAGGCCCCTGTCAGATTCAGGAAAGAACACTGATGAGTAAGAAGGTGGAATGGGCAAGAAAATGTGAAGCAGGGGACAAATTCAACACCTGATGCAATTCTGGTTAAAATAGAAAACTGAACACGACTGCTCTTAAATCAAGGATTAAAATGAAAAGGCTGGACAATTGTCATCTGCATACAGCAAAATAATATCTATAGCGAGGTAGGGTCTCTTCTATTAAACAATGTAATCAATCTTTTTTTCCCACTTAAAGCTCTAAACTAACAGAATCAAGGTCATGAGAGATTACAGAAAACAAACCAGATAAGTCATTTTATTCTTTTTATTTACTCATACATTATAAATTTAAACACCACTCTTACCATACACATCACAGTGACCTCTGCACACTAGAATACCTTAAAAGTTTTTTTTTCTTCTAAGTTTTTCTGAATTCCAGAACAGAACAATATTTTTTTAATAAATGCCTAAGTCAGGGCAGATGTCCTCGACCTGAGATCCACTGGGCCTGTGTCAACACTTAAAATAACTCCTGAAGGAGAAAGAGCAAAAGTGAAAATGAGAAAATCTAGTCCTCATTGATTTGTTACCATCTTTATTAATCACATTAGGCTATTTTTAAGACTTTCTATATTATTATTATTATTATTATTATTACACTTTGATGGATGAAGAGAGATGTTAAGAGCATTTATGTCATTTATGAAACATCTACTCTGTGCCAAGCACTGTTCTAAAAAATGATTTATGTCAAGTCATATTAGCCCCATGATAATCCTATCACAGAGATATTATTACTCCTATTTTCAGATAAGGACACAAAAGCACAGAGGTTAGGTGAGTTGCCAAAGTAACAAACTTAATAGGGCAATAGGATTATCAGGGACAACTTGTAACACAGAATACTTGAAAGATGACTTTTTGTTTTTATTTCTTTTCTTTTTTTTAATTTTCATTTTAGATATTTATTTATTTTGGTCCCTCTGTGGAAGACACTCTCCACTTTATAGTTGAGGATATGGAGATATAACAACAAGTGTTAACTTCTTTTCTTTTCTATTTGTCTTCTAAGAAATGCTTTCCAATTTGGAGAAATTTGGAACTGTTTTGGACCTCATTTCTCTGGAAAGTATCAAAGAACTCCATGTTTCCCTCTGTATATGTCCCAGGAAAAGTATAGTCATTGTCATAAAGCTCTTTCCTGTAACTTGACAATGTGGCAGTACTATATGTGATTCTAAAGAAAAATATCTATATTGAGAAATATAAAAGGATTTAACTATTTTGCATCCATTAGAATGGCTATTGTTTTAATAAAATGACAAATGTTAGTGATGATGTTTAGAAATTAGAATGTTTCTGCATTGCTGATAGGAATAAAATGGCACAACTGGGTCTCCCTGGTGGTGCAAGGAGTTAAGACGCAGCACTGTGAAGCTATCCACAGCCACTGCAGCACAAGTTTGATCCCCGGCCAGGGAGATACCCACATGGCACAGCAGACCTCTCTTGACTCACCTGCTGCTCCCCTCAGCAGTGTATTTCAGTCCATCCGCCTGGTCTGTTCCCCACTCTGTCTCTGGTGAATCCTCTCATCCCCCCACACCTCTGGCCTGTACCCCCGTTCTTGTATGCATAAATAAATAAATAAATCTTTTTTTAAAAAATCGCACAACCACAGTAGGAAAGTTTGGCAGTTTCTCAAAAAATTTAATCTAGAGTTAGCATATAACCCAGCAATTCCACTTGTGGGTATAAACCACCAGGAATTAAAATCAGGGACTCAAACAGATACCTGTGCACTAATGTTCACAGAAGCATTATTCACAATAACCAAAAGGCAGATGTAACTCAAGTGTCCATTGATTGATGAATGATTAAATAAAGTGTAGGATATGATATCAAGTTATATTAATTCAGCTTTCAAAAGGAAGGAAATTCTTATGCATGCCACTACATGAATGAGCCACAAGGACTTAACACTAAATGAAACAAGTCAGACAGAAAATGGACAAATATTACATTATTCAATTTAAATCGAGTATCTAAGATAGGCAAATGTATAAACATAGAAAGTAGAATAGTGGTTACAGGGGGAGGGGGTACAGAAGTGAAGAACCATTGTTAAATGGATCCAGTTTCTGATGAGGAAGATGAAAAAGTTCTGGAGGTGGCTAGTGGTAATGAATGTAAAATGCAGTAAATAGATTTAATATATCTGAATCATACACTTATAGATTGTTAAAATGATAAATTTTAGGTTAGTTATGTCTTATCCAATAAAACATAAATATATATATGGCTACAGTAACATCTCCTCCTTCTCTTACTCAATATCTGTGGACAAACCACTGAATTTCTCTAAAACTCAAATTCTTAATTTGCAATTAATGAGGTGCTTGAATTTGAATTAATCAGAAATCACAAAAGCTGCACAGTGACAACAGAACAAATTTTGTGCTTTAAAAAAAATCTAACAGCATTTAATGAAATATTACATAAAGATTCAAATTTGCAGTTTTTATTTTAAAAGATCAACAAAGGCAGTTCATTTTGAAATATGGAGCCCGAACTCATATCAAAAAATAAAAACCCAATTGCAAGTTCATAATTTTTAGGAAGCAATCAGATAGCTTAAGTGACAGAGAATCAAATTATCCTAAAATATGAAAACAGATAGATGCCTGGAAGAAGAGACAAGACATGCATACCTGCTTACCTGGGGAAGACCCACTGGACACCAGCAGGAAAAATGTAGCCACAATAGTGAATGATTAGTGGAAGATGGGAGTGGACCAGCTCTCAGGTTGCTACAGATGTAACAGAATTCTCATCCTCTTACCAAATTTTTCTCTACAGGTTCTATGTTTGTGAGATAAAGTTTCCTCTAAACCTGTGAGAAAAGGTCTAGTATAGCACAGGCCTAGGAAAGAACAGTAGTTATATGCAGACACAAAATGCCAACTACTGCTTCCCTCCCCAAGAGCACAAGAGACTATGGTCATGGTTCACGGGTGTCTTGGTGGTGGTAATTTTATGGAGATTACACCTGAGAGGAGAATGAACAACGATGGGAAAAATATATAAATTAAAAATTATAAAAATAAAATGAAAAATCTAGACACCATAAACACACACATGAACAAATGTTTCCCTCCCCCTCAACACCCTGTGTTACGAAAGGTTTAATCAATGGGGATAGGGAGGCACACTGTTACCCTTAGGGCACTGTGGAAAAAGTAACTTCAGCTAGGAAAAGAAATCAGACATCTGACAAGGATCTACAAAGAACTCATACAACTCACCATAAAGAAAACAACCCAATCAATAAGTGAGCAGAAGAGCTAAATAGATACTTCTCCAAATAAGACATACGGGTGGCCAACAGGCACATGGAAAAATACTCATCATAACTGATCATCAGCGAAATGAAAATCAAAACCATAATGAGATGGCTCCTCACACCAAGGGGAGTGACCAGTATCAGAGATGAAAAATAAGAGGTGCTGTCAAGAGCATGGTGAAAAAGGAACTCTCATATACTACACTGTTGGTGGGAATGTAGACTGGCCCAGCCCTTTGGAAACCAGCATTGAGTTTCTCAAAATATTAAAAATAGACCTACCATATGATCCAGCACTTCCACTAATTTGAATGGATATTTGGACTCCTGTGCTCATTAGAGCACTGTTTACAATAATCAAGTTATTGATCACCTCATACCCAAGGACAAGTGAATGGATAAAGAAACTGTGGTATATATACACAATGGAATATACTGTTATTTAAAAAAAATATCCATGCCATTTATGACGACATGAAGAGAACTGGAGGGGATGATGCTAAGCAAAATAAATAACAAGTAAACTTTGTAGAATATGAAGAATCAAAACAAAGGAACAGACCAGTTAAACTGAAGCAAGCTCTATAAATATGACTGCAGATTTGGGGCCACCAGAAAGGTAGGATGTATGGGAAGCAATGGGGTGGAACTGAGTGGACTAGGATAGAGATGATTGGTACTTTGGTGGTGGACAGCATGTGATGGTATGCATCTGCTGCAGTATAACCTTATACAGTGTGGTAAGCTAACATTATCGGAATAAAAAATAACATAGCTTTTAAAAATATAGAAATTATTATATTTTATTTTAAAAACTATTAAATAGACTCTATCAATATTAAAAACTTTTACTCTGACTAAACACTACTGAGAGAATGAAAGACAACCCACACAATTGCAAATCACATTTCTGATAAAGTACCTATTATCAGAATACATAAAGAAACCTCAAAACTCAATAGGAAGAAAACAAGCAGCCCAATTTTTAAAAAAAGAGGGAACAAAGACTCTGAAAAGATATTTCACCATAGATGTATTCACAGTTGAAAATAAATAAAACATGAAAAGATGAACAAACATTAATCACTAGGCAATTCAAATTAGAAACAAGAGATACCTATCTCTTAAAATGGGTAAAATTTCAAAATCTGACAATAACAATTACCCAATGAGAAAGGAAATGTGGTTAAGTGTTAATAATTGGTGAAGTTGCAAAAAGACACTCAGCTCTTTTTACTGCTCCTGCAACTTTTCTGTAAATTTTAAAATCATTTAAAAATAAAGTTTAAGAGGACAAATATTTAACTAAGAAACAAGTAGTGAAAAATGATTATGAATCTCCTTTATTCAAAAATGGCTTTTGTTATTTGCAGTTTTTAAAGTAGACTGAATAATTTAAACTGTAATAATCGAAAAGTCACATCTACTATGAAAGTAACTCTAATCTATAATATTTGACTTTGTAATTTTGACATTAAACAATATTATAGTTCTAGCTGAGCAATGTCAATAAAGCACAATTTTCAAAATAGAAAACTAACATATTTTTCCCTTAAATATTAAAAAGCTACCTATTAAATAACAAAGAAATTAAAACGATTTGTCCAAACTGAATGTGTATTTCTCCATAGCAACAACTGGCTAGAGCTGAATAGTGACTGCCTGCTTTAGACAAGGAGTGTGTTTTGGAGTGTGTTTTGGAGGCTTTACATTTTCTTCCTGGTCCTTGTGGATATTTGAGTTTGGGATCTGTGCTTATGAGATTATATGGTGCCATTCGACTATAGTCCAATAAGGCTTTACATTTTCTTCATGGTCCTTGTGGATATTTGAGTTTGGGATCTGTGCTTATGAGATTATATGGTGCCATTCAACTATAGCAATTGTGATACTCATTCATGTCAATATTTTGCACACAATTTCAGACACCATAAACTCCTCCCCTTGACCTCTGCCTCTAAATAACTATCGTTTGCCTCACTCCACTCATTAAAATGCATTGCAATGTTTTCTTATCAGAATTTCCTACTCTATTCTCAATTTGTTCTTACCACCACTTCAATCCCTGAATTACAGGGCAATATATTGTTCTACTTGGTAATTATGCTTTATTACTTTCTTTTAGATTAGCACAAAATGTTCCTCCTCAGACTACTAAAAAGGAGGTACCATACGACCTGGCAATTCCA